TGGGTATCGGTTGGCGGGTGGTGAGCAATTGCATTGGGCATCACTTGCTTTGTATATTGTTATTATTATCATTATTATATTGTTATTATTACTACTACTAGTAGTATTGGAGGGCGTCCACAGGAGGGCCATGAAAATGATCCAAGGGCTGGAGCCCCTCTCCTACGAGGCCAGGCTGAGAGAGCTGGGGTTGTTCAGCCTGGAGAAGAGGAGGCTGCGGGGAGACCTTAGTGCGGCCTTTCAGTGCTTACAGGGGGCCTACAGGAAAGATGGGGACAATCTTTTTAGCAAGGCCTGTTGTGACAGGACAAGGAGTAATGGTTTTAAAGTAAGGCAGGATAGATTTAGACTGGGTATAAGGAAGAAATTTTTTACAAGGGTGGTGAAGCACTGGCACAGGTTACCCAGAGAGGCAGTGGAGGCCCCATCCCTGGAAACATCCCAGGCCAGGTTGGACGGGGCTCTGAGCACCCTGGGCTGGTTAAAGCTGTCCCTGCTCACTGCAGGGGGTTGGGCTGGATGAGCTCTAAAGGCCCCTTCCAACCCAAAGCATTCTATGATTCTATTGTACTTTATTTTGTTTCAATTATTAAACTGTTCTTATCTCAACCCAGGAGTGTTTCTCACTCTTACTCCCCCGATTCTCTCCCCCATCCCACTGGGGCAGGGGGAGTGAGCGAGCGGCTGCGTGGTGCTGAGCTGCTGGCTGGGGCTAAACCACGACACCTGGGAAGCTGTTCAGAAAAATGGGAAGGTATTCTTGGCTTTTTATCCAAAGAACAATCCACAGAAGGGAAAATTTACTCATGATTTCAGCCTTGGCACTTCAAAGTGAAACACAGTGCAGTATTACATGCCCTAAATTAATCTTTAAATACATTGTTTGAAACACATTATTATAGTAACAGTAAGCAATGACTTTGAGAACTTTTAGTATTTCAGCTTCTTTACAGGACAGGCAGTTACCTCTCCTTTAACATTATGGGCATGCTCTTCAGAAATGGTGTAACAATTTTTACACACTGAGGGGGAGAAAAAGAAACTGGACTTCTCTCTTCTGAGCTGTGAAGATATCTTTGATAGAATAAGATCCCTCTCTAGTGACTAGTTATTGCCCTAGTATGTAGTACAGATGGTGTATATTTTTTTTTTCTCTTCAGCATCGTTCATGCTAAAATCACTCTTTAGTAGCAAGTCGGAAAATCCAAGCACTGCCAGACACAAGTCAATGACCAATGCAAGAAAACTAATAGCACTTAACAGCTGATGACTTTTATGAGCAAAGACTGTCCCACCCTCATCTTCAAATGATCCTTTTGCACTTAAGCTTGCACTGTGATTCTGATACAGAACTCACTGTAGGAATTTTTGGCCTCACATTGCTAACTTACCAATATAACAGATGAAGTGACCTCAGAAAGCAAAACACAACCAATAACCAAAACTGTAACAATTGTTGAAAAGGAAATAACTCTGCAGGTGCTAGGGTTCTGATGGAGAACAGATGTCATACAACAAATGTACCGATCCGTAATAGCTCCAGCAACATGGTGCTACATGCTTGCCTGTAATCTGCTTCTCAGCTCCACATCTCAAACACCTTAGAACAGCTCCTGTGAATTTGACGAAATTAAGTTGACTGCTGATGCAGGAGTGACCGGTAATTCAAAGGCTAGAGAAATGCGGCATATGCGTGAGGTGAGGCAGAAGGGGTAGACCTGTTCATGACAGGCCAGCTAAACTACACGGGTAAGCAGCTGAGCAATTGGTCCTGGCACCACAGGGTACATACAGGTTTGAATTTGAGAGAAACTCCTATGGCTGGTTTGACATGCCCAAATGCCAATATTTATCTTCCTTTAAGAATGGTAGGAAGGAAAGGAAAAAAAAAAAAAAAAAAAAAAAAAAGATACGCCTGCTTCCCTTAAGCTGAGGGCAGATCTACTTATCTGTAGTGTCTGTATTAGATATAAGAAGCCAGAGGTCTAGGGAAATAACTGAAGTGTTAACAAAGTGTTAGCAGCTTTGCTTTTTTCCTCCTTATAAGCTACTATCACTTCATGTCACTGAACCAATTCTCATATATTTGTTTGGGGCTCCAGGTGGAAAAAACTCATTATCTTTTGAGTCCAGCTGTTAAGAATATAGAATTATATTGTATTTCCATCTGCAATAAAGCAGGAGCTTTAGCTCTTTTTGAACTATGTCTAGGTGGATTGCATATTTAGTTGCCCTCATAGCTCCTCCTGTTTCAAAATAAAAACATCTTTCAAAATCATTGCATTTTCAGAACTCTTTCATTTGAAGTGACCTGGTTTCCTCCAACTGGAAGAGCTTAACATAACAAAGAGAGAGGATTCTCTTTTTCTATTCCTCCCAGCCAAGAATGGCTTGTACATACTTATATAAGTACAAAATTTCACCTTGAAACCCAAATTCTAAAGGACTTCAGAAAGCTTAGAAAACCCAACAGGAGAATGAAGCCTTCTTCTGACCACTGTTAAAAACAGAAGTGGTGTGTCCTGTAGCAATGTGTACGGTGAAAATTTCTGTACCAATACAGTTACGAGCGTATGTTCACCCTAAGGCTCTGTACAAAAACCTGCCTAGCAAAAACGCACATGCTACATAGAAAAGAAAAAGCAGTGTGTGAGTAGTTTGTTCAGTCTGATATTCTGATACAGGTCTGATATTCCGAACTGTAGATAGCTACTTTTTAGTAAGCTATTCACACAGGGTGTCAAATACACACACACGCCTTAAAAATGTGGGGTTTGGAATAGAAGTGGCAACCAGGTTCTTCAGGTACTAATGCCATGCTAGGAGAAGACATGTCTTAATCCACAAGATTATATACATTTGACTCCAATTGTCCAGCTGCCTTCAACCCCTGTCTCTTTTCCAGCCTGAATTCTCCTCTGGACATGCAGTTGTTCAATACCCAAGATCAACTTTCAGCATTTCTTGAGGGTGACCCATAGACTTTAGTTTTAAAACCTTCCATATGAAGTATTATAAAGACTATACATACATGTGGTTGTGCTGACTACTTACTGTAACTACTGAGCCAAAAGCAAAAATTGACAATCACTCTGAAGTTATTTCCTCAGGTTGGCCAGTATGGAGTTGCCTGTTCCAAGTCTCTCACTAAAAGTTTCCAGTGCTTTGAGTGTTTAATCCTTAGTGCTTAGCTCCCCAGCTGAGAATAAAGAAAGTATAATCAAATAATCTTCAGATTATTCAGCTACCCAGAGAAGGTCCAAAAAAAAAAAAAAAAAAAAAAGCGCCAAACCCAACTTATATTTTGGCTTATACCACATTGCCCTGGTATATTGCACCAGAATGCCACCACCACATTCAAGGGGAACTCAACTTTTCTTCAGCAGTTTTGGCAACTGAAAAATTGCTGGACACATCTCGCTTGCAAGGGAATGATAGGGTGGTTTTTTTTTTTTTTATAATCCTATCTGATCAAAATCAATAAACTAACTAAGCCTGTTGATATACAAGAAAGCTGTTGACTTTTTTGGAACTATTCTTAAAAACTTAATGAAAAAGAAAACTCTGCTGTCACTGAACATCTGGGCAACATGGCATAGGGGAGCTACCACTGCTAACGTGGCATCACTGCCACTGATGACCAGCTGCCGTATAAAAATGTCTTTGCTCTCAAGGGAGTAACAGGCAGTGAACATACGCTCTCCTTTAACTGTCAGTGTTGCAAAATCTACCCCAAACAGAAGTTAAGTCAAGCTCTTCTCTGCTTGGAAGAGATGTAACAGATTCTCACAACAGGTTACCTGCTTGGAGGATAGGATTTTTTTCTAATGATTGTGAAAAAAGTGTATCCAATTATAAAATTTCATTCCAGGAGAAAGACTAATTGGACACTTAACAGCTTTCTTCACTTCTGTTTTCATACACAAGCAGGAACTCTATCACTTTCAATTGCTCTGTGTAATTCTTTTCTTGAAAACAGGACTGGAATTTGACCAGACATAGAATAAATCAGAAATTACAAAACAGCATGAAATTCTGTGAAGATGGTCCTTCTGCTGTGGTGCTACGGGTACCATGAAGGGCTGTTAAGTGAAGGCAGGTACATGCTGAAATACACAAGACATGATTTATTGAGAAAGTTTATTTTATTGGCTTACAGGTCACACCCACCTCTTTATTAAAAAAGCTCTTAGTCAACTTAAAAAATTACCAAAGTATAGTATACGTATTTGGAAACTTCTCAACTGATCCCTCTCTTATTCCCCTCTCCTGTTTGAACACTTCCTTCTTGCTTGTTACATTCTAGCAGACAAAAGTGCAAATACAATACTACACACCTGCTGAA